TAACCCTAACCCTAACCCTAACCCTAACCCTAAACCCTAACCCTAACCCTAACCCTAAGGTTAGGGTTAGGGTTAGGGTTAGGGTTAGGTTTAGGTTGTGATATTTAGGGAGTTTTTTGCACTTTTTACAACCCTAAGTGAGATTTTTCAAGTTTCAAAAACCCTAAAAGGGTTCGGTTTAGGGTGTGATTTTAGGGTGTTTTTTGCACTTTTTACAACCATAAGTGAGGCTTTTCAATTTTCAAAAACCCTAAAAGGTATAGGTTTAGGGTGTGATTTTAGTGGATTTTTTTAACTTTTTACAACCCAAACTTAGGTTTTTGAATTTTCACAAACCCTAAAAGGGTTAGGTTTAGGGTGTGATTTTAGGGTTTTTTCATATTTTACAACCCTAACTTAGGTTTTTGAATTTTAAATATCCCTTTCAGGGTTAGGCTTAGGGTGTGATTGTAGGGTGTTTTTTGCACTTTTTACAACCCTAACTTWGGTTTTTGAATTTTGAAAACCCCTAAAAGGGTTAGGTTTAGGGTATGACTTTAGGGTGTTTATTTCACTTGTTTAAACCCTTACTTGGGTTGTTGAGTGTTGACGATGTGCTAGAAGGGGGAAAGCGGTTTCATTGCAAGACGTGTGTTAATCACCGAAATATAGAGGTTGTCTATTATTGGGGAAGCCTGGGAACAAACAATGAAGGGTGAGATGAAACAAAGAACGCAGCTCACATGTAGAACAATACGCATTGTTCASCATAATCCATGCTTTCTTTGTTTTCGTTATTTAATCCAATCCCAAGCCTCGTTCTACCAGTGGACACCGACCCAGTTCGTAATAAAGCGTACGTATACTCTGGACATGACCTCTTTTCGGTTGGATCGCAAGCCGTTGACGTTATTCAAAACATGGGAATGCGGTAAGGTGATACTCTTATTGACTATTCATAGGTTATCATAAAGCGTGTAATGTAAAAAACATCTCGTAGCGGTTTCAGCAGCAGTCGTTGAAAAATAGATGAATTAGAGACGTTATTCAAAACTGGGGAAACCGGTAAAGCGATACTTTTATTGCTTTATTCAGGCTTAATCATGTAGCCTCTACTGTAAACGACATCTCTTAGCAGTTGGAGTGAAAGTTTTAGAGTATTCAATGCTATATAGAGACGTTATTCAAAACATGGGAATGCGGTAAGGTGATGATCTTATTAAGTTATTCAGGCTTTATGATAAAGCCTTTACTCTGAACATTGCTGCGTAGTAGTATGATCGACGCTCGTTGAGTAATAAATGAATTAGAGACGTTATTCAAAACATGGGAATGCGGTAATGTGATACTTTTATTGGTTTATTCATAGGTTATCATAAAGCGTGTAATCTAAACAACATCTCGTAGCGGTTTCAGCAGCAGTSGTTGAATMATAACTGAATTAGAGACGTTATTCCAAACTGGGGAAAGTGGTAACGTGAAACTTTTATTGCTTTATTCATAGCTCATAATACAGCTTGTGCTCTGGACACTTCTTCGTAGCAGTAGGGTCGACAGTCGTGTGAAACAGAAGTGAATTAGAGACGTTATTCAAAAGTGGGGAAAGTGGTAAGGACATACTTTTATTGCTTTATTCAGGCTTAATCATGTAGCCTCTACTCTAAACGACATCTCAACGCAGTTTGAGCGAGAGTGGTTAAATAATAAATGAATTAGAGACGTTATTCAAAASWGGGGAAAGCGGTAATGTGATACTTTTATTGGTTTATTCATAGGTTATCATAAAGCGTGTAATCTAAACAACATCTCGTAGCGGTTTCAGCAGCAGTCGCTGAATAATAACTGAATTAGAGACGTTATTCCAAACTGGGGAATGCGGTAAGGAGATGCTTTTCTTCAWTTATTCATAGCTTATCATACAGCTTGTACTCTGGACACTACTACGTAGCAGTAGGATCGACAGTAGTTGAATAATACATGAACTAGAGACGTTATTCAAAACATGGGAATGCGGTAAGGTGATACTGATAGTGATAAATGTTATTCAACACTCATTGAAAATAAGGGGAAAGGTGGAACCCTATACTGTCGAGGATTCCACCATKGTGTAGAGAATTTCCAGACGAAGCGAACGCACGCTCGTTGGATTCTTTGGGGTGAATGTACRGTGTGTTATTTCAATTTCCGTCAAGGAAGGTATAGCGTGACATAGATGTTATAGTAATAACAGTTTTGATGGATCACACTGGACTGCTTAGGGCCAAGTTTAGGAGGACCTGTAAGATACTAGATAGAAGTATCGGATTACCGCTTTCTCCAGCTATAGGTAACTGCTATATCTCTTGTAATATCTAAGACTCTGCAGTCAAATGGCTCCGAGGTGTTGTGGAGAGTATACGCTTGATGATGAGCTATGGATGACTAAATACCGCTTTCCTCTGTTCTAGGGAAATGCTATAGATCAGCTAGCATTCAACCCCTTTCAGTCAAAAAGCTACGACGTGCTATACAGAGTAAAGGCTCGATGATGAAGTAGAAATAACTACATAGAAGTATGGGATTACCGCTTTGCCTAGTTTTAGAGAAGCTCTATAGATCAGCGAATATTCAACACCCTGCACTCAAATCACTGCGACGTGTTGGGCAGAGTATGGACTCGATGATGAAGCATAAATAACTACATAGAATTATGGGATTACCGCTTTCTCCAGTTCTAGGGAACTGCTACATATCATCGAATGTTCAACCACTTTCAGTCAAACCAGTACGAGGTGTTGTCCAGAGTATACGCTTGATGATGTGCTATAAGGAACTCAATAGAAGTATGGGATTACCGCTTTCCCCAGTTAGAGAGGACATCTATAGATCAGCCAATAATGAATGGCTTTTAATGAAACGGGTACGAAGGGTTAGGGTTAGGGTAGGGTTTAGGGTAAGCTTTAGGATGATTTATAGATACCTAAACAATACTGCCGGCTTCCCCTGTTTTAGATTCACATTGCTCTTATATCTCATAGATAGTACTCTACACACTGCATCATGACTGAATAGCAATGAAAGACTTTGTTTGGTATTGATGAAGTGGAACTATGCTGGTAGTGCCAAAGAAATATCATTGGGCCTATTGCATTCCTATTTTATTTTATATATTTATATCTTAATKTCATTTATAGGAGTTTTTATTATTTATAGCATAAGCCTACCCAAACTCTCGCCCTAAACCTAACCCTTCTTGTAGGAATGAGATATATATCATTGGCATTCTTTCACATTGTATATTGTGTTATTGACATTGATATAGCATAAGCCTACCCAAACACTCACTGTAACCTTTGTTGTAGGAATGAGATAAATATCATTGGCATTCGTTCACATTGTATATTGTGTTATTGACATTGATATGGCATAAGCCTACCCAAACACTCACCCTAACCCTAACCCTTGCTGTATTATTGATGAAAAAAATMATTGACATTCATCATTCACATGGTATTGTATTTAATATTCACATTGATCTCATGTCTTATAGATAGTACTCTACACACTGGATAATGACAGAAGACTAATGAAAGACTTTGTTTGGTATTGATGTTTATATCATTTATAGCATAAGCCTACCCAAACACTCACCCTAACCCTAACCCTTGCTGTATTATTGATGAAATAAATTTCATTGACATTGACATTCACATGGTATATTGTGTTATTGATATAACTGATATAGCATAAGCTTACCCAGACACTCACCCTAAACCTAACCCTTGTTGTGTGGATGAAAAAAATAATTGACATTCACATTCACATTCACATTCACATTCACATTCACATGGTATTGTATTGTATATTCACATTCATCTAACATTGCATGATGCAGATCCAAACCCTTATCCTTATCCTAAGTGATGAAATAAATATCATTCACATGGTATATTGTGTTATTGAGATTGATATAGCATAAGCCCACCCATACACTAACCCTAACCCCTAACCCTTGCTGTATTATTGATGAAATAAAAATCRTTGGCATTCATTCACATGGTATATTGTGGTTATTGACATTGAACTGATATAGCATAAAGCCTAGAACCACTATTGTTGTATATACATGTTGTATTTTATTTTAGATTCACATGGATCTCATATGTCATATAGATAGTACTCCATACACTGGATCATGACTGAATAGCAATGGAAGACTTTGTTTATTTTTATTATCATTTTCATTATTATGAATATTATTATTGTTATAAATATTATTGTTGTTGTTGTTGTTGTTGTTGTTCTTGTTATACAAGATGCCAAATCCAATCCCTCATCCCTGTTGTATGGATGGAATAAATATCAACTCACATGGTATTGTGTTTTATCTTATATTCACAGTGATCACATAGTATTTCAGCTTTCGATACTAGATGTAAATAGGAATTCAACATTCATTAAAGTATAAAATGGAATGGGACTGMTATTCATAGCATGTGGGACTACGCCATGGCAGACCGGTTAGGGTGAGGGTGAAGGATGGGGTCAGGTTTTAGTTTTTATGATAGAGCTGAAAGCCTTTTGAAAACAATAATCACTTATGCAGGGAATAAGTCTATGCTAGGATGATGTAACGAAATAAATCAAAGTACTGTGTGGCAAAGTTCATCATCCACACACAATAAATACAATCACAAATTAGAATTCCCAAGATGAAATAAAATAATGTTTGCTTTGATTATATATATATATATATATACTTTGTATTTCAAAGCTCTAAAATAATTATTATTAGAATGGTTAAGTTAATGTAAATACACTTTGATGTAAACATTGTAACATAGCTGTATTGACCTTATGCAATAAAGACTTATTATTGTTATTATTATTATTGTTATCATTATTATCATTATTATTATTGTTATCTTTGCCTATTTGTTATTGTGTTGGTTTGTACTCGCCTAAATCAAGAATTAAAATGAATGGATACAGGAACATTGTTTCAATGAGCGCCAAGCGCTTTCGAATCACTGCTGTTTAAAAACATTAACAACTGATAATAAAAGCCCGCTAGATAATTCATGTCATTCGATCGAAAGATAGAGAGATATATAGAAAGTATCTAGAACTACTCACTATAAATAAACAACACTTTAATCATCTAACTTGAGTCGTGTAGACTTCAAAGTCTATATTGAATTCATTGTTGTTCACAGTTCTACTCGTGCTTGCTTTTGTTTATTATGATCATTATATTTGCCTAGTTGTTGTTGTTAGTGTTTGTACTCGAATAAAGCAGGTTCCAAAGTCATTGAAACGACGACACCATGGAGCGAATTACTGCTGTAAAGAGGTAGAAAGTAGATCCAAGTAGAGCTTGGAATTAATATCATATCTTGTAATGTTCAAAGTAGATTGAATTGTTGGTGTTCAAGCGTGTTTGTTTTCGCCGCTTCGAATGAACTTCCAAGTAACAGCAGCGGGCTGTGGACAGATTGAAGTAGCTTCAGGTCATCTACTGTAGATCGCCGACTGTTTGAACGAGCTTCACCTCGAGTTCATCGAACAGAKAAGAGTCCCAGTTCGCCAGCTTCGCTTCGATCTCTGTGGATCGAAGTAGTCATTCTTGCCGTAACTTGTTCGTGTAGTTTAGAATATAGAACACTTCAAATACCAAAGTTGAGTCGTGTCTTTTGTTTACACTTCAAAGTCTGATAGATGTGTTGATCAAAGTCTATCGAATAGTGTTGTTGAGCTGGCTGGCTGTGGACAGATCGAAGAAGCTTGATATCACATCGACTGAGCTGTTGTGGACGGCCTAGCGAGCTCCGAAGAAGAGAATTAGTCTTCGCTTCGATCGGCTGTTGATCGAAGCAGAGTTCTTGCCGTAACTTGTTCGTTCTAGTTTAGAAGCGGTAAAGCCGTCGAAAGTCGATCAATGAGCGCCCTTCAGCAAGCCCAGTAGCGTGTAGAACAAAGACTGAAGTCCAGAACAGTCTTCCCATCGAACTAAAGTCCTTGTTTTGAAGAATAAAGAGCTCTTATTCAGCGATTATTTTTGCTGGCTCGAACTACTGAGCGCTAAAAATAGTACAGCCAGACACCGCTAATCGGTTTGGCGCGACAAACCCAACTCACTGTAAGAGAGACGTGAGAGTACGTGATCTCAGACACGTCACTAGGCCTGACCTATTGCATTGATGGCTTGACGCGTGTGCTCAACCGTTTGAATGCATTTGGGCGCCAAGTATCCAGGAACACCAACAGTGTATCGGTTACTGCCCCCTTAACCACAGGCAACCCAACAGTACTGCCCAACGGCATAGCCCCTTGCTAGATTACAACAGATACACGAAGTCTTTGGGCACCCTCCATCTAGCTCGCCCCACCAAGGTCACTAGTTCACTAGACCCTCAAACTCCCCCTGAGAGTGCCCAAACACTGATCAAGCCACGAGGTTCGTCACKTCACTGGTAGCACACGCCGATCCTATCCTACAAAACACCTACAAAAACACCCTATTGTTCAAAMAAACTACACCCAACCCGTGCCACCAGCAGTGCGCCCAACACATTTCTTCGTGAGGGCCGAATTGCTACCGTCAACAGGCTTAATGATGCCCTAGAGTAACCTAATGGCTGATCTTCTTCCAACCCACGAGCTAACCGAACGAACGAACGAACGAGCTCGATCCAACCCTCTCATTATTATGCAATTCTACACTCCTCCAACCTACTCCACACGCCATCTTGCTCACTGATGCTGGAAAATAACCTTCAAGCCCACTCTACAACCCAGGTAGCCTAACKTTATTGTTATTCGATGATTACTAATATTCCATAGCCTTTACGGCGCTATTCTCTACTCCCGCTAACCTACTTTTACACACTTTACACACTAGCTACCTTCCACTCCTCACATTACAATATTACTTTTCACACCACCTCTAGGGTGTCKTACATTCTACTCTATCAATATAACTTCTTTATCATTATTAGTAGGGTTATGTCCCCTCACTACCATATCCAATTCATAACTTTACTGTATCCAAACAATACCTTCATCTGCTAAAATGTCTTAACACAAATGATATAACTAGCTAAAAACTAGTGTAGTAAAAAAACTAGTAACACAAATGGTTCAACTCAATACATATCTCTTTTATCTATCTATTCCTATCAAGAGCTTGTGTATATCCAAACAATAGCTTCTGAAAAAATGTCTTTACGCAAATGCTTCAACTCAATACATATATATTTTATCTATCTATTCATAATATTTCATGTCTAGATACAACCTTAGAATTAGTAATTCCTCATGAGGGTAACTCCCATATATCGAGGAGTGGGATGAGCGTCATATCTTTTAGGGGTTAAAATTGCAAGATCTCCCTTGTAGGGGTTAAAATGGAAAGCTGCAGGTTTTAATCAATTGTGGTATCTTTTACAGTATGCAACTGATGGTTTCAAGAGGTAAACAAAAGAAAGCATTTGATTTTTTCATTGCTTTCAACACAACACTTCTTGTTGTAAATGGTTTAAATTGTGTTTTAAAAAATTGGTTACTCTTAGGGGAAAACAATGAGCCACAACCAAGCCCAAATT